TTATAATATTTAACGATTCTAATAGGTATTGACTTGTTGCAGTCCAAATTACTGATTTATTAGATTTTTAGGTGAGTTTAATTGTTTAAATGTTCGATTTTACACGTTTCATTTAAAGTAATCGGGTATTGAATGCAAACTTTGTTTTCTCTCTATTTATTCACAATCCCTTAAATGGAATACACTCATTATAAAAACAAGAATAACTGGTTCAATGGAGAGTTCTTTTTCCTGCCACTTCATTTTCAAAGCCATACAGTCGCAAATATGTACCTTTTTCAGTGGTAATCGATAATATGTTTATTAAAGATAATTTACTGAGCTCAATACAAAATTACAAGAAATGACGTCCTTATTAAGAAACTGTAAACATATTCGTTGAAATCTTGAATATTCATCAATATTTCCATAAACGTTTTATAAAGAATGGTAATTATTCAAAATGGTTGGGTGACATGGTAAGATAAACTGTCGGGATTCAAAATAAAATTGAATCATAGACAGTACAGAAACAAAATAAGTCAGCTAAAGGTAAAACGTCTGTAGGGAAATAGAGATAGGGTAATTACTTCGAAAAACTTGTGGTTAAGGCCATTATAGAAGAAGAGGTTGAATAAGTTTCATTTGTACACACAATTTTGTCTATTCTAAATGTTTGGGGAAGGATTCATAAATGTTAAGACAGAAGTTGAACTGTCTTCATCAGGCTTCTGCCTACCTCATAGATAACTTTAAATGCTGAGTTTTGGTTAAATAACCCATTTTCAAATTCCTTTTTCGATTACACTTCTTGAATCTGAACAGACGAATCGTCCTACAACCTCCACTGGATTTTCTGGACCTCCTGCAGCTGCACAAAATCTCCCGCCTCCTGGTGTATTTATTCCTACTTCCGTAGGGGACAGTGTAACGTCAACATCGGAAGAGAAGCAAATAGAAGGTAATTCTTTATTAAATGAAACTTTCAATCTATTCAAAGGACGTTTTTCGTCTCAGCTAATATAAAATTAACTAACCAGTTATATGAAAACATTTTGATTTGCTCTATTTCTGCTACATAAAAGACAATAGTCAGAATTGCAAATATCCCATTCTGCTGACAAGCATCAAAAGGGTATACACGGTCTGTTCACTAAGTACGCAGATTGATATAATGGAAAAGTTTATTCTACAAAGCTTAAAAGACTGCACATGTTTAATGTTCCCAACGTAAGCTTTCTTATCACGATCCCGACTAACAATCTCAGTAAACCAGTCCACCTGTTTATTGAACAGATTATGTAAATAAACTAATTCAGTCGACCTACTGGGTTATTTCTTTGAACTGCTTATCCTCCCGATCGAGTCATTTCATTTATATCCCTGACTTGACTTTTTGTATCTTTGTGCAGTCACGGTGATTTTTTCTTATCTCCTCTGTCAAGTCTGATGAAGAGGGATTAATATCTCACTTGTGAATGATAAATGTTGCTGCTGTTATGATGATATAAAAAAATATTGGCATGCATAAGGTGACCGATAAAATAATCACTTCACGAGAATGAACTGAATTACCAATTATTACGCATCTAGAACAAAGAAAACGTTTCTATCATTACATTTTAAATTATGCAACTAATAAAGGAGGCAGGAAATAGGGATTACATAGTGTATTTTTCTACTGTTTTTATTAAACCTTAAACTAAAAATACAGAAGATAAAGAAAATCCAAAAGGGCAAAGAAATGTGGTGATTTCAAGTACTTCAAGGAGTGTGGCCCCCTAGGAAAACCACTTGTTTCGGTTTAGTCACACGGGCAGTATCCCCGCCCTTGCACAAATCGATTTGGTGCCTCCCTGTACCAATGCTTGTGTTTAAATAAATAAGTGCTTCAAGTGTGTCTTTGAAACTAAAACTCTCCGCAAACCCAACATTCTTTTTGGGATAGGTGATATGATGATCTTGGGGCTCTGCTAAGTAACTGAGTTACACTTGTGTATATAAGTTTGTAATTAACTGATGATTCTACTTAGTTTGATTTAGAAAATTGTTTCTATGGTTCAATTTATCCGTTTCGTCTCATAGATATCTTGTATTGAACGTATTTAAGCAAATACTAAAATAAACTAACTTAATCTTGCTTTGTCCGAGCTATATAACTCTTCGTAACAATGTTTTTGCGTAACAGATCTTGGAAACCAAATATAAATGACGTATTTTATATGGCTTCTTAGTATCACTTATTGCATCGTATCTAGACCGGTGCAAGTTGTAGTACACGAATATCACAAAGTAAAAACCCTCCTCAGGCAACTATAAAACTTATCAATAAACGGTATTGTTTTCGTAACTCATTCCCAAAAATCAGTTTCTGTAACTAATTCAGTGTTTACCATTTTTCAAAGCTTTATGCATAGTACTGTCATTAAATTGAAGTGAAATTTATTTTTATGAATTTAACTTTATCTAACTCATTGGTTTCTGTGTTATTCAGATGTCATTTCCGTCACAACTGCATCCGTCTGGGATGATGACGACGATTCGGCGATCCCTGTTCCAACTGCTTCAGAGGAAATTCCTGAACCCCCTGCTGAAGATCAGGTCGGGGAGCACACTGAAGTAACCGCTCACCTAAACGATGTCGAAGACTCTCAAGACGTGTTTACTATTAGTATGTCTAGGTAGGAATCACTTTTATCAAGTTACTGGGAACCATATTTTATAAGCATATTAGTATATCTGCACCTCGATACAAACTGCAAAATATGTGCTTATTCTTCAACTTAGTAATGTTGCTGTTTGCCTAATTTACCGCTGTAAATTTTCGGCAATGTTCCGGAGTATTGAACAAAATCGAATATGTTTGGATTGTTTTAGTAAAATAGGTTCATATTTATGTTCAATTTGTTAACACTCGTAGCTACTTTTTTATTTGAGTAGACATTCTACTATTTGCACTCAAATTATGGACAAGAAACTAGATCTGACTTTTCTGCACGCTGTTAATAAGGAAGTTTATTTAACTGAAACGCATTAGCGGTAGAAGTTTTTCGTTGACTTAGGTTATATTAAATGTGTTGATAATTATAGATTGCGATTACCTCGAAGTTCAAAATTTATTTAGGTAGATTCATGATGGTACGCCTTTCATTCAGTATACTTTTATACTCAGTGGTCTAACTACTTTTGGTCTTATTACTTAATTTGTCTGCTTATTGTCACTCTTAGGGTTTTATTGCTCGAGAATATGGTAGGTGTTAACGAAGTGGACGACGAACTTCAGGAGGAAGTAATGGAAGAGTGTGGGAACTACGGTTCTGTTCTACGTGTTTTAATTCATATAATGACAAGTCAGGATGTTCGCATCTTTATTCAGTTTGACCGGTCGGATGACGCTAAAGCTGCTTGCTGTGCCCTAAATCAACGCTATTTCGCTGGCCGTGTTGTTCAAGCTCGTCTGTATGATGAAGAACGGTTCCAACTGCATGAATTGGATGACTAGGAGTATTCTAACTTGTTTATTTTATTGGTCGTATTTTAATCCGGATTCAATATCAGTATTTCTTATAACAATTATGTACGCATATTTACGATGTTTATTTTGTTTGTCAGAATTATTGTATACTTCCTTAAGCCTACAATCTGTATATACATAAAGCAAGGTTTAATTTTATATTAAACATATTCCGGATTAGTTTCCCTTTTGTCGTTTCTGAATATATGGTCAAGCTACATTCCCCTTGACTATGCTCGAACTAACAATGACTATTCATGTGTAAACTTTTTGATTAGTTCGTTACTAAACTACTTATTTAATAAACTTGCAAGTTTTGTCGTATTTCTTCACACTATCCAAGTGAACCCATTGAATATTTCATGTGGTTTTCATGCGTTTCGTCTTCTAATTCTTCGGTGAGATCTAATGTTCAAACGGTACCAATACACTGTTAGGACTCCGGATTTTTCTTCACGTTGAACGGCCAGATGGCATCACCAGTCCTCACATTCAGAACTATGTAGTTTAAACCCAAATACAATTTTTTTTATTTTGGGAGACATTTTATCTCCTAGGGCAGATCGCTGGTTCAAGGGTTCAGTGTTTTTGGTTAACAAAGTAGTGAAACATGACACCTAAATCCCGTTTAGCTATTGCTTACTAGTAATTCCTTTAGTGCAGGCGAAATGCTTGTACACCGACCAAAGAACGAATACATTGTAACTTCGTGGTGAGGTTTCGTTCTCTGAGCTAGGTGGTTTAATTATGAAGCTTTCATCCCTGACGGGATGGAGAATAGCTGAGCAAATTGAATATTGAAAAATTAACTCACTGTACCTAGTGTTGTTGAGAAAAACAGTTAAAGCTTCATGATTAAGCCTCCCGTTTAAGGGACAAAGACTGCCAAATTCATCTACCTTAGCTATAAATCTTCTGTACCATCTCACTGTGTGTCGTTTCGCTCTGTGTTGGCACAAAGGTTGTGAAGTGTGACCTATGAGAGCATAAAACATGAGTAAGCCGCAAGTGTTTGATCTTATGCATTTTTAAAGATTTGCTAGAAAGCAGTATTTGTACTAGACGTAAAAAATTGGGGAAACCCGTTGATAAGACAATAAATTCTTGTCGACTGAGGTGGTTGAAAAATGTATCCCCAACTGGGCTTACCCAAACGTGCAACGCATCCCAAGAAACGTTTCTTCAAGACTGATTTTGCAGGGGGCCATAACTAACCAATGTAGATTGAAAGAATCTAGAGCATTTAGTGCTTAAGAGTCAGAAGACTTAAACAATGACAATTTGGATTAGATTACCACGGCGTGCAATGCTGACCAGTTGGAAACAGATGGAAGAAAGTTAGAGGCGGTCAAACCAAAACGTGGTATCAGTCCATAAAGTCACTAACTTCTGATCTGAGCCGTGTTGGTAGATGCAAACTACTTGGTTGAGTTCCGCGCGACTATCGTAACCAGTGGTTGGGAACTGTGTGACATGGCTCAGAATCGATCACAATGGTGTAGGTGTGTGTACTCTTTGTCTTCCGTTAAACCGTGAAATTAAAATTACTTTACACCTTTCTTTATAAGAACTAATTCTTTCCCTATATCAAATCCTTAAATGCAATTTTTTCGTTATATATATTACTACCATTGAAGTAACTATTATGAATATGTCCATCTTCTTGTGCTAATGAGGTAGGGGAACTAGTACCGATGCATACATGTGCCTGGTCCTACTTTGTAGATGGACTGACTAAAGTTTAATAACAGAAGCCACAGGTAAGATGTATGTTTGCCGTGTAACAAATTACCCAACAGAAAAACTAATCGAAACATATACAAGAACAGTATATTATACCAGAAATCCTGAAAATATCACATTTAAAAGTAAAAACTTATAAGTTTGTTTTTAAAGGAGTGAGTATTACTAATTCACAAAGAAATAAAGGTTATAAATAAAAAAATACTTTATAAAGGACCCTTCAAAATATATCACATCTTATGGAATGATTAACAAGTTTTCGTGTGACTAATCATGATCTGGACGAAAAGTCATTTGATGTTTACGAGCGCTAGGTTATCGATGCCTGTACAAAAAATGAGTAAACAGTAAAGAATATTATTTAATTACATTATATTGATTTAACAAGGATAACATTTCATAGTTTAATTTCAAAATGTTTTAGTCTAATTATGTACCGTGACAATTTATTTTCAAACTGATATTACATGACTGTTTGGTTGCTCATTTTATAATAACCCGAAAAATCCAAACCCTATTAACTAGTGTTGTGGTTATTAAGGGAACCAGGCTTATTTGATAAAAAGACGTAGAACACTAATTAAACTACAGAATACTCAGGAACAATTTCCTCCCCTTTCTGTATATCCAACATGTTATGTTACCGAGCATTGCTGTAAGTGTAAATTTAATGCTATTAAGCACCTTTAGCGTACATACTCATTTCCGTCCCAAATAAAAAATTTTTACGTCGAATTATTTCCTGTTTTTATATGTATTTGCTGACATGAAACTAATGACAATAGTGCAGAAGTAAGCATTCCTTATTACCCTTTGGGTTTAATGTTATTCAATATTTTTCATTCGCTTCCATCAATATTTCTTACATTTAGTTTTCTGCTTATAACTCAGATTGCCTGAGAAGAAAATAAACCGAATAAAGATTGTTACGAAAAATAGTAGCGCAACATTAACTTCCCACCTCTTTTTCAGATTTAGCATCTTCGAAGAAGAAATAATAAAAGCTTTCTCAAGAAAAACATATCAACTTACTTCATTGTATGATAGTGAAGAATGAAAAATATAAGACCTAAAATAAGACCCACACTGCCCACAACAATATAGGATATTCCTAATGTTGGATTTCGGCCACCTAGCCAACTCATCGTAGAAAGTATAATTCGTTTAGTGCCACCAAATTGAGTGACAGGATAAGCTGAATGTACAATAAAACAAGCAAAATTAAGTCAGGAGAACAACATGAACTTGAATGCAACTTTTTATTTGGTAAATTTGTGAAACTCAAATATAAAAATTACATCTTCAGAATCAAATGACTTCATTTTCTAGTATCTTTAGAAATAAAATACTTGAAAATTTCGTAGTAAAGTTTAATGTTAACTGGTTTCTTATAGATATAAAAATAAATGAAACTATTGGAATGATCTGTATATAGTGTTGTAGAAGCCAATTCCTCTCTATTTGGCAAATAAATAATACCTCGTTAGCTGAGTATTTAAAACAGGCCAAATCCTTTAGTAGTAATATAAATTTACTCAAGGATATTCAAAAGCAAGAACATCAGTTGTAAGGACAGCATACTGTTAATAATTACTAAAATCCGCAAGCACGCAGAGAAGAAAATGAGTGTCAAAAAAAGTCCATATAAACTTAGGAGTGTTGATCGGATATGGATAAGTTATTGATTGCTTGTGTAAACAACTAATGGGAAGATAGATAACATTGACATCATATACTTCCTACTTTGGTATTAAGTAGATACTTTTTATGCGCACGTACCCGCTAACTATATTTACTAATTTATATAGACTTAGAAAGGGTAGTAAATAAAAAAGTTAAACAAAGGCATTTAGTCGAAATCAGTACATGAAGTCACTGACTTGGTCTGGACCATGTTAGTGGGTATCTACTACCCTGTTTGGAATATGGAGGATTATTGCGACGATTTCGTATAGATGTTGGATGATGTTGATCAGAATCCGTCGCAATGGTGCAGATTTATTCACTCTGTTCATCTCGAGATCCTGGATATAAAAGTTATATTATACGTTTTATGCTCTGAGTTCATCCTTCTTGAATCGTATTTGTTATGCCTAATTGTTTTTTTATCACAACTGATACTACTTCTAATAACCTAGCACTCATCTTAGTGTGTTAATATGGTGTGGTAATTCGGACCAACTCATATATGAGTCAGATTCTGCGTTACCTACTGTTGATCGAATCTAAAATCTTGAATAGAAATATGGTCTTTCCCTAGTGTAAACAGATATTCTTTAACCAATTACGATACCAAAGGAACGAAGGATGCCAATTCTACAGTGTTTTGAGGAATCTTTCAGTTCGACCTTTCCAAACAGAAAAACAAGATGACTGAACCTACACCATCCTATCAATTCATTTTCAACTACCAGATTAATACTACTGGTTTATCCTCGTAAGTTTTTTTCAAATAACTCAGAGAAATTATCTAATTCCCCAGTCTATTACAGTTCCCTTCTTCTACAACCATTTGTGCATTCCTTTTACGATCAATTTTGTTAACTCACATCACGTTTTCAATTGTAGTTGACAAATTTTGTTTTCTACGCGTAGTCTAATTACTGTTTTATAACTATAAGTAAATTTATACGTTCAAAGCATATTTCCATAACCATTACTTATGACAAATTTGCTGCCATTTGAAACCGCTTGCAGGTAAGGAGTAAAATAGAACAAATTCTTCTACTTCAAGTTTATTTGTTCTAATCCAATAAAATTACGCTTGCTATGGATCTAAAAATTTTGCTTTTATCATCACCCATTAAAACGGGTTGGCAAAATGGTCAAAAACAACACAAACTTACAATAATTCGGAAAAGATAAGCAAGAGATAGAGAGTGACTTATAACCTCCTTATATGGGATTTGATATGACTCTACAGAGCCTTACTGTCGTATCCAAGATTCAGCTGCCATTTAAACAGTCAGCTTATCAACAAGGACTAAAACGTAAAAAAACTATTACACCAGATGAATGAAGTGTAATTTTGAGCATATGAAACTAAATTTCTCTTAACCGAAAGGATTTAACTGACGAAAAACATGTCAGTCGCGTTGAAAAAAGTGAAAGTAAATCAGTACTCACAGTACTCAATATCAACGCTATAAATTCCAGCTGGCAGACCGTTTGAAAAAGCACCCACATGAGTGACTAGACGATGTAATTTACGAAATGTTGGTAGTGCTGAAACACGCATCCATACTAATAACTCTTCGTCTTCGCTATATGCGCCAGATGAGCGTTCAAGAGCTGACTTTTTCCAACTAACTGGCTTTACTGTGTTTGCCCATGAATCAGCTGGTGGTTTTCCAAATTTTTCTTCAACATCAGTGCGCCAAGCGATTCCCTTATTGGTCATTGGAACTTGTAATGGTTTAGCAAGAGGTTCGGAGCTTTTACCAAGATATTTTAGAGTGAATGAGTCTGAAATGAAAAACGATTCCATAAATGATTCTACTGAAATACATTAGCTATTTTATGGACCGGTCAGAAGAATATCTGGTCGCTACATATGGTGGATTTTCACTAACAATCCGATATAGATTGTGTATGGACAAGCACTTTGTTTACTAACCGGTTGCTTTGTTTTCTCATAATAGTTTGGTTTGTAAACTTTGCAGCAGAATGGAAAAAGCACTAGTGATGTTTAATATAACATTTAATATTAAGATAAAAACCAGCAATGAGTGAATCTATATCTCAATTAATCACGTCGTCTGGCTTTCAAATACTAAATTTTAGCATATTCACTGGTCTATCCAGATAGTCTACACGTCTCTATATTGCTAAAACCAATGGTCCATGACATTCGTTAATCTGGTTAAGCTTAACTTTCAAACCAAATTTTGCTCTATGCAACATGATATGCATGACACATAGCTTATTAGCATCATTCATTGAGTGCTTCGAATCCTATAAAGCATTTTAACCTTAACTGAACTCGGAATGGATTACCGAGACGCCCTACTACACACGAACAAGCCTATGTCGGTAAATAAGGTCAAATTCTTCTAAATTATGCATTTCTAGTATTTTTAACGGGAATCACACCACAATAAAGTAAAAATAACTTGACTGTTGAGCACTATACTCGCTCTTTTGTTCGTCTGCCAACATTTTGCTATAGTTGCATAGGTCATAAAAATACTGAATCAACTATTTTGTTGAGGTTTCATTGACAATCAGCCCACCAATACAAATCCAACTTCCTAATTCTCCCAACCACATTATTTACTTATCTAAAACTAATAGTCAATGTGGACGGTTTCTATGGTATTCCTAAAGGAGTGACTATTTCTGGAAATACAATTAAAAACATGATAAAACTTACTATGCATAAAATCAACTTCGTGTACAAACGCGATTTATCTAGTCGAAGATGATTCAGAAAATCAATTACAATGACCTCAAGACACATGTTTTCAGCATCCTAGTAACCAAACGAAATGTGGGTGACTTCAGATAAACGCACATCATTTCTCCAGCCAAAAGATGTGATGAATATAGAGAATAAAAAGGCAATCGGTTGTTTGATTTAGAAAGATTTTGTCACTCCCAAGTACCCTTTTTTCATTTCCTGGAATCCGTTGATGGTCTTTTCTCAGGCATAATAATTCTCACGAATATCACACCTCAAGGAGGTATCTCTATCGATCAGGTCATATAAATTTATATGTATAATACACGTATGAGAAGGTCTGTTTTCTTATCATTGATTATATCTTGGTGATAAGTTTTATACAATAGATTTTTGGTAGCATATTAGGTCATACCATTAAAATAGTGATTTTGAACGAACTTATGGTATATTCAAGTCTGCAAAACTTTAAATAGTTTGTCTATTATTTTCGTTTCATAGCAACCATTAACCCTCGCAATTATACGGTGCATGAGTTCAAGTTCGCAAATACTGTAAGCCACAGTTTATACTGTTCCCACGAACTTATACGGAACCGTTTATTGAAACAGAGCGAGATTATTGTCAATTACATTATATCACCACCGTTTTTATTTTACATTATCAAGTTATCAACTAATTCATCAGATACTTGGTGATGAGCCCCACTCAGTGTGAGGGGTAATGATGTAACTCAAACTGAAGTAAATGGAAGGGTTCGAACTTGATAGCCAAGAGTCGAACCCCTTAACTCTTGAGCCCTCACGCCATATACATGCAAACGAAAGGATGTGTGAATGATATCGTCGGTTAGTTGTGAGATATAACTACAATTCGTAAGGACGCATACAATGGATAAGGAATGTACCAGGTTTCTCGGGGTTTGAACATTAAGAAACGAAAACATCGGTGGTTGGTGTTTTAGACGCTAAAGTATCCTATTACAGGCTAACAATCGGAAGAAATGGCAAATTTTAAAAAAGTTCTGTAAATTACTATTATATCAGATTTCGGAAATTTATCAGTGTGAAGGATAGAGGTATCAAAATTACCATTGAATAAACTCATTGCAATAGCTCCACATGGGGCATAGACTTTTCCATTTGCATCGAATCGATACGGTTCACAACTTGGTTTTGGAGTTTCCACTGAACCGTGTAACTGGTAATCATCCTTTGATATAACATAGCGGCGATGATTTTGGTAGAAATTTGACAGTCCATAGTAAAAGTACACTTGACCCTCAAATAAAAAAGGATTATATATAACGTTATTTATTTACTTCATGATTGATGAATTTATATATAATTTCGGATAAGGTAAAAAATAATCACTTCAACTGGATTCAATAAATTTAATGCTGAACTTAAAATGTCCGAAAAGATGTGCAGATTTGTCTACTGAAGCTTGTTGTTGGATGCAAACAATTAGTTCGGAGTGATATTTGGGATGTCAAATGCGTTCAGCTATTTAACATCGGAATCACCTAGCGGAATAGCCAAAGTTGGCATAATTAAACATAACCCGACCGTAGCTGCTACCTTGACGTGGTGGTCGGGCTTGCCTATCGTGATGACCCAACCGAGCTATATTGGCTGGAACTCAAGTTCCTGCAGGTTCTACCATGCCAGGCAGGTCGATTGGAGAACGGTAAGACTAAAAGCAGCAACTCAAGGTCTGAGGGCGAAGTCGTACTGCTGACTGTACAGAGGTGTGACAGCAGTAAGGTGTTTCCCTCGGACAACCAGCATCTGCAGCGATGCTGCCTTCTCACAAGGAAGGAAGGAGTTAGAAAAGGTTGACCCTAAAAATGTCACACCTCACCTTACCCCACGGATTTCCGTCTCCGGCGGTAAGGCCCTTTGATGAACGGAGCTAACACATTAAAAACCTCCCACAAAAAGGCCGTGCGCGACCGGCCTCAAGCAGTTGTCCCTTGGGCTCTGCGGTCACGCACTCAGGTCGCTAAGACCAACACTAATCCGATTTCCTTTTCAGGTCCCCCAAGAAATACCCTTCCACGGTGTGGGCAACCGGGAAGTGATATCAGCCCTCATACCCGTAACAGCACACGAGACCAAGTTGGTCACATTCAAATCCTTCCTACACCTCCTAATAACTCTCTTATCTCCACGACTAACCCTTCTCACGTCCCTTTATCACCTCGCCCCGCTAGTGCGAACAATTCGAGTACGCGGAATGTTATTCCTGGTCTCCTGAAACCACGCTCCAAACTACACGTAGGAGCTTTCAACGTCCGAACACTGTGCCAAATAGGACAACAGGCTTCCTTAGCTAAGACTTTAGAATCTCGCTCCATCGATGTGTGCTGCGTCTCCGAAACGCGCACACAGGATCCTAGTAGTGTCATTCATTTGACTGCACCATGTCAAAGTAACGAACCAACTCGATTTACGCTTCGTGTATCTGGAAGCCCTGATGCTGCATCCCGTGGCCTCGCTGGCGTAGGTATAGCATTGAGTCCTAGGGCAGAACTAGGTCTCTTAGACTGGATCCCAGTAGACAGTCGTTTGTGTGCTGTCCGACTAAACGGAACAGTAAGGACTCGAAAAGATAGGGACACTCGTCGTTGCCTCTTCGTCGTCTCTGCCTACTCTCCCACTGACTGCAGCTCAGATAATGTAGAAGATGAGTTTTACAGAAAGCTTTCCGACCTTCTCCGAAAAGCTAGGCGTTCAGATGTAGTAATAGTGGCTGGTGACTTTAATGCTCAAGTAGGTAAACTAAGCGAAAAGGAAAGACACCTGGGTGGATCTTATGGTGTCGTGGTTCAAAGAACAGATAACGGCGACCGTCTGTTGCAGCTATGCTCAGATAACCGCCTGTTTCTTGCAAACACTAACTTTAAGCATAAGGAAAAACATCTTTTAACATGGCGACCCCCTAATTCGTCTCAACGCTGGACCCAAATAGATCACATCGCTATCAGCCACCGATGGAGGGGCTCGATAGAAGACTGTCGCTCATTCTGGAGCACATGCTTAGACTCAGATCATGCTCTAGTGCGAGCGCGTATTTGTCTACGTCTTACTAGACATAGGAAACATGCTGCAAGGAAACCCCTTAGGGTCCTACTTAATGATAGTCAAGCTAAAAGTATATTTCAGGAACAACTAGAAAAACAGTTAGGCAGCCATGTAAGTGATACCCACCCCGAGGCAGCATGGAATGACATCCGAAAAGCCGTAGAAACAGCAGTGATGTCTGCAAGTACGGTAAACCATAAGGTTAGGGAGAAACACTGGATCTCAGCAGCATCTACCGCACTGATAGATGCTCGAAAACTCATTCCATCTGTCTTTGAACATAACGAAGAGCGGAGTCAGCTTAAGCGTAAGCTGACTAGAAGCCTACGCAAAGATCGTGAACAGTGGTGGGTAGTGAAAGCAAGAGAGATGGAAAAGACAGCGGCAATAGGTAACAGCAGGCAACTGTTCAGACTTGTTAAGGAAACCGGTATTAGGAACCCAACTGTTAGCGAAACAATCGTAGAGAAAGATGGACATATTATTCATTCTCAATCCAGGAGATTGGATCGATGGGCAGAATACTTTAGGGATCAGTTCAACTGGCCTTTAGCCACACTTCGGCTTCCCACGATCCCCAGTCGACCTGAATGGCAAGTTGATGTAAGTCCTCCGACTCTTTACGAAGTTGAAAAAGCTATAGGAAATCTGAAGCGTGGGAGAGCAGCAGGCCCTGACAGGTTTACCCCTGAGATTTTTAAGGATGGCGGTCCAGTATTAGCAGCGAGATTGACTGAGGTCTTAGGTAGAATCTGGGAACTGGACGTAATCCCATCTGACTGGTCTCAATCACTGATTGTACCAGTCTATAAGAAAGGACAAAAGTCCTCCTGTGACAATCACAGAGGAATTAGTTTGACTAATATAGTGTCTAAAATATTAGCTTCAATAATACTTCGACGTCTAACCAAAGCTCGTGAAGAGCAGACTAGAGAAAACCAGGCTGGTTTTCGACCTGGACGTGGTTGTATTGATCAAATATTCACATTACGTCAGGTCCTAGAACATAGACACACATTCAGACGTCCCACAATGGTAGTATTTCTCGACCTTAAGGCGGCATTTGACTCTGTTGATCGTAAGGTTCTATGGCAATGTTTATCACTGAAGGGAGTACCAAAGAAGTACGTCAACCTTATAAAGGCTCTCTACTCGAACACAACTGGTCGAGTGAGAGCTTATGGTGAACTGTCATCAGAACTGATATCTTCAAGTGGTGTTCGTCAGGGCTGTCCACTCTCTCCATTCTTGTTTAACTTTGTCGTTGACGTCCTTTTAGAGATGACACTTTCCTCATCTAAATTTCCAGGAGTTGAACTTCTACCGGGAGATCCACTTGTTGACTTAGAATATGCCGATGACATAGTTCTATTTAGTGAAGACGCTGACAGAATGCAGAGTCTGCTGACCACTCTAAGCAACAATGCAAGCCTGTTCGGCATGCGATTCTCTCCCTCGAAATGCAAAATGTTACTTCAGGATTGGGTTGCGTCGACACCCGAACTAGTGATAGGGAGTGAAGTAGTTGAGCGTGTCGACCGCTTCACTTATCTCGGAAGTCTCATCAGCCCTTGTGGTTTGGTGTGTGACGAAATCTCAGCACGGATACAAAAGGCTCGACTAGCTTTTGCCAACTTGCGTCATTTGTGGCGTAGGCGAGATATCCGTCTATCAACCAAAGGACGTGTTTACTGCGCAGCAGTTCGTTCCGTCCTACTTTATGGCAGTGAAACATGGCCAGTAAGAGTAGAGGATATTCGTAGGTTACTAGTATTTGACCATAGATGTCTTCGAAACATTGCTCGTATATCCTGGGACCACCGAGTAAGTAACTCAGTTGTTAGGAAACGGGTACTAGGTAAGGATGGAAAATCAATTGAGGAAGTAGTGAAACTCAATCATTTGAGATGGCTGGGACATGTGTTGCGCATGCCCGACCACCGACTGCCCCGACGTGCTATGTTTTATGGTGTAGGAGTAGGTTGGAAGAAAGTTAGGGGCGACCAGACCAAAACATGGCACAAATCCATGAAGTCACTGACAAGTGGACTGAGCCATGTTGGTAGGTGTAGACTACCTGGTTGGGGACCGCGAGACGATAGCAACCGATGGTTAGAGACCTTGAATGACATGGCTCAAAATCGTTTGCAATGGCGCAGGTGCATCCACTCTTTGTGTTCTCTCAAACTCTAATCTTCTGAATTCTTCATGTCCTTTATTTTCTTTCCCAATTTATTCCACTGGCGCATATATATTTGGTGCCCCCCTGTACCAATATTTATGTGTTCAAATAAATAAATAAATATTCCACTGGACTATACTCCTTTAATAACATCATCAAACCTTAATGTCCCCTATCTCTACTTATACTTTCAGTACCTCTACCACTATGGGATTTGAATCGATAACTGAATCTCTGTGCTAATGTGGTATGGCAACTCGAACTGATGTACGTACGTACGAAGTTCCACGTTGTTACTGACTGACTGACTGATAATTAAACATAACAGAGGGCTTTGTGGTACATGAAGCGAAGGACCACACAGAATGGAGATGATTTTTTTCGGAAATTTGAACATTACGAACATTCAACTGACCATACAATGAAAATACAACTTTTGTTCTGATGACTTACTGACTCGGAATTGTGACTGAAAAACTCAAGTGACAACTAGCAATAATCAGTTTTACTTACAAATGCTTCATGTCAGCACTAAATATTTTAACGTCGCACGTCACTTAATTACGGTTGTCAAAATATATAATGCTGAATATATTGTTGCTATTTATAAGCTACAGTAAGAACTAATTTCAACAATGGGAAACTGATTCAAATAAGATAATTACCATGTCGATGATAAGAGAATAATCGAAGCAAATGTCTACGTTTATGTAATTATTAGATTGTTAAGCATTTAAGAGACGAATAATACTAAATATAACGACTGCAGTAGTCCGAGTGAGTTCTTGTTATCCAAGTTAGAGTTGATTAGAACTGATTGGATGGAGATATCATCTATATGAGGTGAACTAAAATAGTATACAAGGAAATTCCCGTACTGACATTAGTAGACATATTATAGATGTACTAGCAACACAAATTCTCTATCCAACAGTGGCAATATTTTCGCCACCAAAATTAACAGTAAACATTTATTAGCAAAAATGTAGAAGAAATCATTGGTGGAAGCAATAAGCCAATTAAAATTCTACTGTCGTTACATGGATGATAAACAAAATCATAGTAACGATGAATGGCAAGAACATTCCTCCTAAATCTAAACAGCTATGACGCTAATACGATCGCATAATGTTAGAGTGACCATGCCGATTTGAAATGAACATTTTTGAGTCAGATGGGACTGTAAGCAATACTTACAGAAAGCAAAGCATTAAACATAACACTCCTACTTTGTCATTTATTACGTATTTTAAACGGCGCAAATGCATGAAACGCTTACCCTGAACTCTTCCTTGAGTTCAAATTCGACTTTGCATAAACATATATTATATGTTCTATAGAAATCAGGAAGTCTGACCACCTCAGAACATCGTGTATGGCGTACGGTATCTTCGCAGTGAGTATACTCCACAACAACCTCTAAGACCTTACCGAAGTGAATAAACAAGACAAAGACTTACGCTATTAGAGGATGCAAGTAAAACTATACCCACTGGTATGGATAATAACCCAATAGTGAGAAATATTGGAAACGCATTTCTAGCAGTTAGAATTGGTCTCCATGACTTAAGACGCTGCTGGTGGAAAGGTGTATCTGAAGCAGAATGCCAACTAATAGCTCACAAGATACCTTTCGGTTTGTTTGATTTTTTTGGCTTTGTCTCAGCTGACTCCATGATACGACTAACAACCGGCACGTAACGCACATGTACAAACTAGCGCTCCTACGAGTTTCAAACTTCAGTCTTTTGTCTTCAGTAATAAGGATGGTGGGTTGTTGGACCTGTGTTAATCCTGACAGTTTGCCTTCCAGCGAAGTTCCGGCTTCTCCTTGAAAATGTTCACTGATGGAGCTGATATCACTTGTTCGGGTAAGGCGTTCCAGTCATTGACCACTCGATGAGAAAAAAGGAACCCCATTTAAAGTTTATTAAGTCGCGGTTTGTGAACCTTCTAGCTATGCTCTCGAAGATTATTAGAGCTGGAGGGAGCAAAAAGATAGGACATATTGACACCCAAATCATAATTAAAGATACGAAGTGCCAGTATAAGGTCACCACTTGTCCTACGATAGGAAAAGTTTTAGGTGTTTTAAGCACTCATCGTAAGAGATTTTAGAAAGACCATCCGCTAATTTTGTTCCCGCATATCAAACACACTCACATGAGTCAGTGTCTTTAACCAGACATGGGCCAGCTGCTTGGATACAGTACTCTAAGTGTGGTATTATGCATGTGGTCTACAAAATTCGAAACATCTCATCAAAGCATTTGAATGCTCGGCGAAGTGACCATAACTCAGGAAACATTTTAGCAGCCTGAAGATCAAATTGATGAGCCTCACTTCTTATTGTTCCCCGAAATTTGACATCACCCAAAACAATGATTTCGACGACTTAAGCAATGGTGGTAACTAATTAACGTAGAGAATGTAAGATAGACCTAATACGGTGCCTTGGGGTACACCACTTTTGACCGGCCTCCATTCGGATAGTGTCCCAGTAATCCTGACACTCGATATGCGGTCACATAAGGAGTTTCCTATCCATTACTGTACAGCGTCTTGTGGAGATATATCTGACAAGCTTGTTTTGTAAATGGTTTTTAATGTTATTTGTATTTATTTTGTCAATTTTTCACTATATGTACATTTATCATTAAATGATTGTACCTGTTGTTCAAGTGTTTGACCTTGAACACTTTTTCTTCCGTTGTGTCACACGCATAGCATGACACATATTTTTTAACTTCTAACAAATACATCGTTGCACACATACTTCTCGTTCTACATTCGCTTGTGGCTGAGCTAACCGAAGTCTAAATCAGATACTGTTAACCTTTATAGACTGTAATTAGAATATACCATATCCTCCTCACAATTTGTTCCACGTTTCACATGATAATGGAAAATACCGTTTCTATAGCCACCATCTTTTAAGTTTGCCAGGCGGCTACAAATTACGAACTGTGGGTAGTTTATTGATGCAATGCATTAAACGACTATGGTATAAATTATGGGTTTCTAAGTAAAGTGTAAGTGTATTGAAGGATATTGTAGAATTGTGGTCAATTATGATATTAGCACTACTCTAATAATAGACCTAATCCTAAAATTGTAGATTTGTTATCAAATAACTGCCTAATCTATAAGATCTCACGTGCAAATTACATCATTTTCTACACCAACTCACTGCATCATAACAATTACCAAGATGATGAAGAACAAGCTTAGGCTAGGGATAGAGCAATATATTTAATATGAATAAAAGATATAAGGTAACATTCAGTTTTTTTCAGTCCATTGTTCCCGCCTTGTCCACCGTTGGGTTTTTCTCCGTGTTAAATGTTGAGTATTTATTTCACATATTGTCTCGTGTTAGGGCCCAATGCCACTACAATATAATTTGGACCAGGTTTTTACCGAACTAGGCAAAGTACGGAAATACAGTGGTCATAAACAAGGCAATGAGATGAAAGTGCAAGTGAAAATAGACAAGAAAGTACTCTCAATAGCTTGTCGCTGATGATGTTTTCTGCTATCCTAGCCAGTTGATGGATTACAGGCTTTATAGATGAAAGGATACATCTAGTAGACAGGAGATTGGGGGTTTCTCTTGACGAACCTTTGGAATAATAATGAGCGTCTCTTCGATATAGTTTATACATGCAGAGGGCTTCTGACGTCTGAGCAGGAAGCAGATGTGTTCTCGCTTACTAGATCAGTGCAAGTGAAATCTTCGCGCAGAAATTTTACAAACGCATGTAATCCATCCTCCATGTGCTTTCGTCTTTCTTTCGGTGACCTCAATCGAGAAGTGGTCACGATCTAATATGCCCAAATGGTCTGCTACACACCTTAGGGGGATTAGACCAGCACTTATTTCATTGCCGCTATCGTCAACATCAACAATTTTTGAGGGATTGTCACTACAAATCCCTACTGATAAATTTCTGATTGTGCCACATTATTTCGGGTTTCCCGACGTCGTGAGACATGATTGACAACCCGTGTTCGTCCATCTTTGGCAAGAAGTTCAAGCATAAAAAATAGTTGAAATTATTAGACCTATAGTATTTTTGATTGTTTCTTGAATGTTGACGAACATATTGCTGTCAACAAAAGCTGTATACTGATAGGCCATGGACAACATAACTGTGTCGCTTTCTTACGAAGGCGTCTGTATTCACACTATTATGCACCTCTAATCTACGCTCATGAAGTTTTGTCTGGCATATGATACGCTATGAGCTTTTGAAATAACATTAGTGGCTTCATTACCTTTCAGGCAATATGATATGTCATTAATTTAACTCTTTTGGTACGAATTATATGAGGGTTACTGTTTGGGACGATAGATCCCCAAAAACTCATAGTTGTAATTTTATCTTGTGGAGTTTGTATGCAGATGTATACGTGGGCATTCTTACCGCCCACGCACATAGTTGATTGACGAATTTATCTATTAAATGTTTAAATATTTCAATGGCAGTCAATTGACAAACTGTCGACTAAATGTTTAAAAGCTCCATGGCAATATCGATATATATATACGTTTTAGAATTGTCTTGCAAAAAAGTTTGCTGGTTTCTGGTTGTTGCAGAATATATTTCTCATTTCAAGCTTCGTCTTCTCACTCTAGATAACTGAGGCTGGGACGCGCCATTAAGTAACTCACTGGACCTTGGTCACCGAATCCTCGATCTCGTTCTCAAACTACGTGAACCCGTGATAGCTCAGTTTTCAACCCTAACGGTTACAATGACTGCCTAATAAATGTGTCAGTGTGGTCAGTTTGTGTAATTTATTTTGAAAACTATTAACCATAATCCACATGTCCTCCACATCACTTTTGTTCCAAGAAGACTTGTTTTCCAGATCACACATAGTATCCGAGACTTCAGCAATTGGAGTTTCGAGTTCACGACTCGTATGCTTAACAACTGTGTTGATATTATCATAGGTGATGATAATTTGCTAAGTTTTTCGTGGCTGTGCTACCTGATCTCTCGTCTTTAGATCGCCTAGCTTTATTGCGTGTCATTTTCTTCTCACTGCTAACATACCTAGTCCAAATGACGGGTCCAGAAATCAGATGTATTCAGACTATGCTAATTGCAGTTACGTATCTATCACTAAGCAGCATGTCAGTTAAGTTATTTGTATAAAAAACATTATTTTCGATATCCAGGTAGATAGATATAGGTTTAAGATTGTGAAGTTTTAAGCACGTGGAACGTAGCTCTAATGTCAAACGTACCGCGATATCTTATGACTAATATAAGTCAGGGTTATCTTATTGTTTATCCTCCCTTCATATTACGTTCAGTAAGGCTCAGAGGTACACTAAAAAGTCCGTAAATTCTCATTACTCTACGGTTTTTAAAGCCATCTTGAGTTATCTGGGTGTAAAAAATGGCAACTTGATTATTGTGCAAAGTCAATCTGCATATCAGCAGATTCCACAGGACGGACAAAATGTTCAGTTTTGTAGCGTATGTGTAAAACCACATCAGTTAGAATTTCATTGGAAGGTTTTGTAGTGGCATTGGTTCTAACCACACAATCCTCAAAGCTGAACGTGAGGTTACTGGGAACATGCATATTCAACAACTGTGGAGGAGGCAGGAAGAATTAATTGAATTGAATTTGATGGTATGGCACAGTTTTGCAGGCACGGTTGTTCTTGTGTAACATTTCTTTTATTCATAATAAACATATTGTTCTATCTCCAGCCTAAATGTGTTCCCTAGAAGTAGGTAACATAATATTGATGATTCTTACGACAGGACGACTCTGTAAACAATGAAGTAACTTCCACGTAATATCTTATAGATTAGGTAGTCATATAGCACTATGGCCTTGTTTGTTTTTAGTACTGCTATAATATTAGGCCTGATCCTAAAACTGTAGATTCGTCATGACATGACATGACTAAAGCTGACTAAAAACTCTATCATTTCCAAACAAATCCATTTTACTTCTTCATAAAACCCAGAGAAGCACAACTAAATAGTGTAGTATGTACAAATTTTTGATGCTGCGGAACTCTATAAAGTGGTACGTCAGAAAGACTAGAGGGTTGAAGAGTTTCTTCTCGAATTGCACAAACAAGCAATCAAGTGCTACTTCAGTGATCAACTCTATGTCCAGCTGCGTGGTCGATTAATTGAAAGAATTATTGTGCAAAATTTGAAGAAAGATGTATAAATGCCGAAGTGCTTCGTCAAGATATTAAAACTGCGTGTAATAATTAATAATAATAATTTATATTCTGAAAAAATAATAATTACGCCAGTTTACAGGCCTGATCAATTTGGTATAAATAATATCATTATATGTGCAGAACAAACGTGATAGGAGTTTTAAGGTTACTAGTTCAGTAATTGTTTAGGTATTACAGTGATCCAATTCATCAGCCTGGAACATTTAATATTTCTTAACTGGACAGCCTGTTGATTTATGAACTGTGTAATTAAGGTCATTTCTTGTGCCAGATCGATTTAATGATAATATGTACAACTAGAGAAATTAAAACGAAAATAGAGAGCACGGAACAACAAAGCAGTAATTACCGAAATATGTCAATCAGATCTATCAAAATACGTATGTTGTGTGACACAGTGATATATTGTTGATGTTATTCAAATTAGTTAAACTTGCTGGGGACGATATTAACATAAAGTGACAGCAAGTAGGTGGTTTTATCCAGAGAATGCACTAATAAAAATGCCTAAACATT